TTTGCCGTTAGTTAAAATATTAATATAAAAGCCTTAAACTTAGTTTTTCTGTTTAATTTAAAAATTTGTATATAAAATTATAATTCTCCAAATATTACAAACCGGATAATATTTCAAAATAAAATTTTATATTATCATGTAATTAACTGTTATTTTAACTAATTTTAATTCATATATCGATTTCATAAATTTTCGATATATTATAATTATTTAAGTCAATTTTACATGGATTTTGATATACATACATATCGAATACTCTTTCTTGCATAATTTTGCAATAACACAAATAAGAGCACAATTAGACAAGTGCCTTTTCGTTGTAGAACCAGCCCTGTGCGCGTGCGAATGTTGCGCATCGCGGCACAGCATTGCAAGGCGGGAGAAGCAGAGAAAGCAGTGTCTACCCGAATCGAGCGTCATCATGCATTGTACAACATGCCATCAGTTGGCGAGAGACCGCGTTCACGTACATGTCGGGCAACGTTTATGTATAGACTCGCTCCGGCACATCGTAAGATGTCGCCGTACGTGTTTTAAGCCGAGTTAAATTTGTCCCGCATGACGATTTTCTTATTAGTTTTTACTAAAATCAAAAAGAAGATTTAATCTGTCGTATCGTTGATGACACACGACTACTAGCGTGGCGGGGGTGGGGGAGGGGGAAGAGTGATTGTGACATCGATCGAATGCGCGAAAACGAAGAATCGTAACACCAGTCAAATTTTATACCAATATTGTACGTGAGAATAACAAGACGATCCATCAATCCTCAATAATAAACCAATCGTTGAATGTCGCAATATTTTCATGTTTATGTGCAATCGACTTTTGTCAATTAAATCGTCAATTAATTAGCCGTAGAATTCTTGCAGAAAATTAAAGATTGGAATACTCTCATGGAACTACGCAAATTCTTCAACGAAATTGACAACTGTGATGATAGCATGAAGTGATTTTATCATCGTAGAAGTTGATTCATACTAAAATTTCATTGAGTTATCGAGGAAAATTGTATTGTAGAAATGCTTAAATCGACATTTGCTTGAGAGATATTGCATCAATATTCTGTTAAACGAATCGATTGACAAGAGACAGCGTTCTAACCTTTCGCCGATACGCCATTGTGCCACGTTAAGAGTATCTGATAGATCCGCCATATCGCTCATATTGTTAACGACGTTTGGCTATTCCGTGAGAGAGACCCCCTCCCCAGAGAAACTCGATACAGAGACCTTTTTTCGAATTCATTCATAGGAACAGACGTTGCAGGCACTACTGGTTTACCTGACGAGAGCACGATTACTCTCGATAAACCGTGCTCTCCTTCTGAAACGAGCACAACAGTGGCAACAACAGCAGCAGCGCCGTCGAGCGAACAAGAAGAGCAGCAATTGCAGCAGCAACCACTCTATCAGTACCATACGCAATACCAACAGCAACGCGCAGCCGGAAATATCGCAGCCGCTGCATCGCACGTTGCTGAGGACAGTGGAGCCTCCTATGAGATGCGGAGGACACCACCACAAAATAAAGGTAAGTTCCTCTTTTAAGAATTAAAAATTTATTCGCTTTATTTGCACGATTTGCATAAAAAATAAATATTCACATACAGGGTGTCCCATAGGAAATTGCTGAAACTAATCAGCTGTCATTTTTAATGCACGCAGTTATTGAGAACAAAAATTGTATTGAAAAGAGGATGAAAATCTGCAGTTTTTAATGGATATAAATAAAATATTTGTATACTGCAGTTTATTTTATTGATAAAAAGTAATGAAAAAAGTGTTAATAGTCACAAATCACAAACTAATGATAAATATTTTCAACAATGCCAGATTTAATAGCCACTATTAAAAGAATTGTCAATAACATTAAAAATGACATTAGAGAAAGTTTTTACGAGTTTTCGTAAAAGAATAAATGAATTTTGTACAAATTCAAATGGTATGCACTTTGAAAATATTTATCATTAGTTTACATATATGATTATTAGCACTTTTCAATAAAATAAACTGGTGTAAGAGGTCAGTTAATAAAGATATTTAAATACTTTAAATGTATAAAATTAACCAGATTTATTAGTATAAAAAGAATAAGTTCAGATGCGCAAAGAACACGTGTTTATTAAAGGACGTCCTGGAGCAGAATGCCTCTGGAAATCTCCTCTTTTATCCCTTCTCGTCAGCTTGTTTTCAATATCTTATCCTACCTCACGCTTCCGATAATCGATATATCTCGCTCGACTTTGACTGGTATTTTTCTCGTAACTAGGGATATTCAGTTTAGGTTAGGCCCAGGGTAGGAGTATCTTGCACTAGTATACAAATATTTTATTTATATCCATTAAAAATTGCAAACTCTTTTCAACACAATTTTTGTTTTCTCAATATAACTGCATGCATTAAAAAATGACGGCTGATTAGTTTCAGACAGTACCTCGTCAGTGGTTTCAGCAATTTCTTATGGGACATTCTGTATAAGGTAATTAAATAAAAAGGACAAATTAGCAATGGAAATAGACTCCTGTTTTGACTTCTCTTTCCCTTTTTACAGTTTTATAAAAATGATGAATGCTCTTGTATAATCTTGTTATAAATATGATTATAAATATGAAATAAAAAGTTACAAAGATAAGGGAATAAAATTGATAACATTGGGAGTGACTATAATATTTACAGTATTTTTAAACTAAAATATGTCAGTTGCATACTATCATGAAATAACAAAAATAGATAACTAAATAATAAAGAAAAGTATTATATTTGTAATAAATAAATAATAAATAATCTTTTTATATTATTTGTTAACACTTCAATTCTAATGCTCTACATCTTAATTCAATAAATGTACATAATTAAGTGTAAATAATGTAATTCAATATCGGCGTAAATAAGTGGAATTTTAATTAAAGTTGTCTATCGTGAGTTCTATAACAGATGTTAAAGTTATTTTATGTAATGTTATTAGATAACATAATGAACAAACATTTTAAATTTCGTTAAGTCAGTTTACAAAATAAAACCTAATTAAAAAACGTAATAATATTTCTACACACACACACACCACACACACACACACACACACACACATATATATATATATAGGACGTTAATTTATTAAATTTTCATCCTGTTTATTTTGTGAACGACTAATTTGTGCGAAAAAAATTCCAAAAGAAGTCAAATTTGTTTTTCGAAGGGGAAATATAAGATCCATAAATACAACGGTATTGCTTTATCCCTCTCATTCAGGGATAGTTATTCAAAAGTCTTAAACGTCAATAGAGGTTGAGTAGTATATCATTTTAAAAATATAATTTGCAACTAGTAGCTACATTTTAATTTTTTCTTAAAAACAACTTTTTCTCTACACCAATCAATTCCTTTAATTATTTTGTGTCTAAAAATATTAAGATTTCAAAATGTATTTAAATATAGTTAGCTTAAAGTGAATATTTATCAATTAAATTTTTATCAATCTGAAAAAATTTAATAATCCAATTGTTATTTTTAAGAAGAAAATAGTGCATCAAAATTCAATAAAATGGCTATATACATTATGCATAAGTGCAAAGGATATTTTTGGTTTCAACATTCTTTGAATATTATTATTATTGCAATAATTACATAAATAATATTTTGATAATTAATTTTATTTAATTTTAAAGTTAATTTAAAATTGAATATAATTTAATATAATTTAATATAATTAATTTTTAATATAATTGTGTTTAATATAATTGTGCCCAATAAAATTATAATTAGGAACGGGAATCGGGTTAATTTGAGCTAAACCGTTGTTGTAAACCATGCGAATATTTTTGTTTAAAAGTGATTCTTCATTATTCGAACGTCTAAATCTTCTTTTCGGATTATCTTCAACGTCTGTCAATTACAAAAACAAAATTAAAATAAAATAAAAAAATTAAAATAATTGATTTGATTGTGAATCTGATTGAAACATAATTCGAACAATAAATAATCACTTTTAAATAAGAATATTCGCTCACGGTCTACAGCGTTCTTAATTAGCCCGATTTCCGTTCCTAATTATAATTCAATTTAATTTAATTTTTCTTGAAGGAATTTAAAAAATATTTTTTGAATATTATATACTTTTATATTTTGAATTAAAATTTGCAAAATATTTTAAAATTAAAATCGTTTAATAATTGTTAACATTATTCAAATATTACTAGAGTCTTATTCCATTATTTGTATATTATTATGATATAATGTATGTAGTATAGAGAAAGATTACAATATAGATTATATTACTAGAAAGATTATAAAATACGTGAGACATAACTATAAGTTATAAATATTATTAATATTCAGCTTTTTTATAGAAAACAGTGTATGTACAGTATCAAATTGACCAAAATTACAGGCGGTGGATTTTTACAAGGCATAAAAATGTTTATTCTTTGTTAAAAAAATGTTTTAAAAATGTTTAAGAAATAACGGCAACTATATAGAAAAATAATTAAGTTAAATTATTTTTTGAATTATTCTTTTTATTATTTTTGCTGTACATATAAAAATAACACAAAAAGGAAAAAATAGACATACAAAAAACATTTATTACTATAGTATAAAACTTAATTATTTTTAAGTTTTATACTATAGTAATAAATGTTTTTTTTGTGCAACCGGCGCGCGAAAAGTCGCCCTTTCCGCACATGATGAGATTTTAGAAAGGGCTCTCTTTCCATGCACCGGTCACACAAAATATCGTAGCCAACATGTGCGGGTCATAAATCGGCCGATCGTGCGGATTGTTACACTCGGCTTCGCCTCGTGCGCCAAACTTCCGCACTCTCGGCCGATTTACGATCCCCCGCACTTGTTAGCTATAATATACTATTTCTTAATTTGTTTTATTTTAATGGCCGACCGGCCCTTGTTTTTGACATGCGTTTTGTATGTCTATTTTTTCCTTTTTGTGTTATTTTTATATGTACAGCAAAAATAATAAAAAGAATAATTCAAAAAATAATTTAAAAATATTTCTAGACATTCTAGAAGAAATAGGAAATTTTTAGACTTATTAAAATATTTATGTTTTTGCGAATTGACACCTATATATTCAACTTTTCAAATGACTCGACATCAGTCAAGTACTAAGTTCAACAACAATTAGAGGCATGGTCATCTTAATTTATTCGGAGACAATTGTAAGCAACAATTAATTAATTTTTAATTTTTAATTCTTAATTTTTTACACATACATAAGTCAATTTCTATTTTCAAATTCAGTTTATAATATTTTAAAAAAACTTGGAGATGATGGACACGATCATTGCCGGACTGATAACCTTTCGCCGACTAATGATGAGCAGTTGGTTTGGAGTAATGTCTAAGTGCCACTCCGAGTTCTCAATAATAATTTTTAAAATAATATTGATTAGCCGGATAAATTATTTTAATGCGATTTTTGCATCTAATTGGGAATGTTCGGGTTGAACTATTTTTAATAATTTAAATTTATTGTTAGCATATTTCGTCTTTTAATTTTGACATAATTATTTAATTTATTTTGACATTGTATTGCGACTTTTTATTAGAATTTTTATTTATATTTATTTATTTATTATAATAATTATTGCGCACTGAAGAAGACTGAGTACAGTCGAAACGTTTGTAATTGGTTTTTTAAATTAAAGTTTTCCAAGATTTATAATAATTTTTATTTGCTCGTTACACATGGCCTCGTAATAGTTAATAAGTTATCATTGTGTTTGTTTATATACGAGCTTAAACATTGTTTACAGATTAGGTGATTTTGTATTATATTTTTATCGTTTTTTTTAAGAAAAAGCACAATTTAAAAATAATAAAAATGAAGAATAAGGACGTAGTGGTCACTGCCTCCATTATTTTTAATTTTTTTATTTTTATCGGACATCTTGAATTCGCTATCCTAGCAGATTTTTCATTTAATAAATGGATTCATAATTAGCGTATCTGAAAAAGCCCGCTCAGATTTATTTTCATAAAATATTTAAATAATGTATTCCTACGTATAAAATTACAAGTTAAGGACGTCATTCATCAACTACTGTCAAGGACGTCATTTTTGATTCGTCATTTTTACATTTTGCCATTTGAATCATAGATTAGTGATCAGAGATTTCAAAAATTTATATATACAAATTATAATAAAAAATCTTTGCAATGCATTCGATTCATGAAAAATTTTAGCGTAGTTATCGAATATTTAGCTTTCACAAAGAAACTCGATATAATCTCAAAAAATAATGTTTTCTGCATTTGTGAGATGTAAGAATATTTTTTCTTCTTCATGTGAATCCCAAACAACAACTTTTTACGGTGAACTAAAATTTCGCAGGGGGGCAAAAATTGGACTTTTTTAACATTCTCTTTTATTCTTCTGTTTTTCAAACAGGGAGTTTTTTTGTATAAACAAGAAAAAGAAAATATATGAACATGAAAATATATATAAACTATAGTATTCCAGAAATAGATTGCTAAACTTTAAGACAATATTCTACTCACTGTAAGGATGAAAAA